GAATCCTGGATGTACTAGACTCAACTACCAGGGAGTTAGCCGCAGGGTGTTTCAATAAGAAGGTTTTGGGACCATGAACACGGTACAAGTTTTCTGTTCTGTGTGACATGGATGTGGAATTCGCAGGGTGTTCCCAATATTCCATAATGAGGTCTAGAAGTTCAGGCACATATGACAGACTGACGGGGTGAGACCTCTCTCTCCTTGTTAATGTCCCCAAAAATCAGGTCGTCTTCATGTGCCAGTGATTTCTCTATCTCTAGCCTTAACGTGGTAGCCATCCTAGAAACCATCTGGGAATAGGACGAGAAATCCTCAGATGGGGAAGATGGGTGAATGTCAGCAGCATCCGACCCCAATGGTTCTCCTGGAAGAGGAGTCTCCAAGGAGGCTTCAGAAGTGACTTCCTCCTCCTGGTCAGAGGAGCTTTGGAAGGCTTGACTTTCCTCATCAGATGAGTGAAGGATGCTGGGATGCTGATTCTTATCCTTGCCCACAGCAGATTTGTGAGGCATGGGAGGATGAGTGGGTTGAGGCTCTATAGGTTGAGCATCAGGCTCTTGGGCTGTCCATGTGGAGGCCCCCTTATCAGTCGACGTCGACGGTGTATGCTTGTCGACACCGGAGTCCTTTCGGTGTCGATGTTTCTTTGGAGGTGAAACGGAGGAGGAGGAGGTGTAGCGCATCCTCTTCCTCTGTCTTCTATGGTCTCTCGAGGTTGAGGAGAACTCGGATGAATAATCCCTCCTTCGGCGTTGATGGTGTGAGCTCCTCCTGTCGACACTGTCGTCGGAGTCGGAAGAAGAATAGTCCTGACGCCGATGCTTCTTACACCTTTCAACACCGGAACCGTGTTTGCGTTTGCGATGGCGTTGAAGCTTTTTCGGTGGAAATTCCTCATCCTGATCCGACACTGGGCGTCGAGGAAAGAGAACTTCCATAGGCTTCTCAGGTCTCCGTGGTGGAGTTGGTGGAGACTTGGAGCCAAGAGACCCTGGTGCCGAGGATTGGGATCTAGATGCCCGCCTGGTTGAAACAGGGCTACGAGGGGCACTGGCTATGCCAGCAATAGCTTGCACAAGCTGGCTAGCGGTAGGTGACCTCTCGGTGTCGAGAGGAGGCTCCTGTTGAGGGGGCAGGGAAGCGCCCATCTCCGACAACGAATCACGGTCCCGAGATGAATCCTCAAGTATAGGTGAGGGAAGAGCCGTCGAGATTGGAGGAACGACCAAGGTAAGCTCCTTAGACTTCGATTTAGGTTTAACCGGTGGCTTCTTTTGTTTCAGCTGTTGCGACGGCGTGGAGTTGGCAGACGTCAAAGGGACCGAAGTACCGGTAAGAGATGTCTTAGATTAAGATTTCTTCTTAGGCTTCTCTTTAGGCTTTTCTTTAGATAGTTCCGGAGTGGGTGAAGAAACCACTCTAACTTCTGAACGGACGGTGGATGTGGATTGAACGGACTCCATGTTCGATGGTTGCGAGGCAAATAAGGTCTGCTTCCACAGAGAGTATTTGAGGCGCTGTTGACGAGCCTTGAGGGTAGCTTTAGTGAATTCTTTACAATGCTTGCAGTCGGTCGTTAAATATGTCTCTCCCAAACAGAAGACACAAAGGGAATGTCTGTCTTAGAAGGGAAGCTTCCTCGAACAAGAAGAGCAGAGTCTAAAGGGCCCTCTTTTCGGAGACGGTTTCTTCCTATGTGGCATAGGCTGATTGAAGCGGGAAAAAGCAATAATGGAAAGAATCCGGCAGGCGCGTGGCGCCTCAGCGGGTGGTAAATAGGTAAATTAGGTAATTAAAGGTACTTGTGGGATTGCCAGAGGCAGTAGAGAAACCAGAAACAGTCCGTGGTCAGGGTAACAGAGAGAAGCAGGTCGAAAGAACAATACCAGGTCAAAACACGAAGGAAAAGACGCAATTTAAACACAGCTTTAACCGAGAGGTTCCAACTCCGTGGGCGGAAAAATGGAACTGAGCTGTTGGCGGGTGGAGCATGCGCTGTACAGGACAACCTAAAACTTTGTTACTTTTCTCTTTAGCTCTAGAAGATTCCGAGAGGCCAGAGCAGGTGCTGTCTTTACCCACTGGTGTGAATTCATAGTGACCACGTTGAAGAACACACAATTACTTGCCCTATGGCTCTGTTAACACTACTAAGTATCTAAACAGGTACACTCTTATATGTTTGTACTGTTTTCATACAGTAATAAACATTTTATCTGAGTCACTATAATTGCAGATTTAAATAATCTCCAAGCTACTTGAAGAAATCTGACCTTTCTGATTCTCATTTTCAACTTCCGTCTAATTTCTCTCCTCCTTTATGAGACATTTCCCCTTGAAAAATTAAATGAGACAGTTTTGTACTTTCTAGGCAATTTTCCACCCAGATATAAAAATAACTAATAAATAATCTTAGAACTGCAGAGTTGGAAGGGACCCTATGGATCATCAAGTCCAGTCCCTGTTAGGAAGGCACTGTGGGGAATTGAACTCTCAACCTCTGACTCTACAGCCAGATGCCTAAACCACTGAGCTATGCATGATGGATTTGAT